ACGTCCGAGCACGCTAGAGTCTAGCTTTAATTCCCCTACCTCTTCCCCCTTTATGCCGGATCAACAATAAAGTTGTTTCACTCACTCCCCCAGCTAGCACATGGATCCCCTTTATAACAGGGTGTTGACCCGTGTGTCAGCAAGCTCGAAAAAAAAATAAAAGATTTTTTTTTTTAAGTTCTCCAACACCTTGTGCTATCATTAAAGACAATTTCAATAGAAAAAAAGACCATAAATTGACCCTGCCCCCGTTTGCAGGTTGACCCTATTTGTCACAACAGTTATTGTCGTTGTTTATCCCTAGTTTTCTCCCACTATAACCATCTATTGCATATTTCTGTTTCATACATGTTTACCTTTCCATTGTTGCCCTCAAAACCCAAATCTTCATCTGGTGCTCAAACATACACCTTGATGGATATCTACACACTCAATTATAATATGCTACACCATTTCCTTAGCTTCCCCCCAACATGTACATAATTCTTTTTTACGAAATCTTGTTTTATAACTATGCATCATGAGGCAACCCAGCCTTCCTTGAACAGTAAATTGTTTCCCCTTGAACTATTATCCAATGCCTTCCTCCTTATTTTGTCTTTGCCCTTTCGGCAGTTACTCAGAGCTGTATTTTTTAAATCACTTCTATTCAGTAAATTCTTTCAGACTTTTTGCACTACCATTTTTGTCACCATATCCCTTACACTGCCAGCCATATACTTGCTGGTAAGTCTCCAAGTTCTTTATCTACACTCTGAATCAATGCTTTTTTATACAAATAGCAGAACACTTTCTCTACCCATCTGTGATGGGCTTTTTTGGAATATTTGGATTAGACGAACTCAGTTGCGTCATTGACGACAAAGTCCATAAAAAGGCAACAAGGCTGTTTTCTGTTTTCTCTAACTTTACGAAAATAACACATGAACATGAAACACGCACTGATGATAACAAAACATCTTACAACCTATGTACAGAGCTCTAAGCAGTCGCAAAAAACAAGTGTAGTCCAACTGTAACCAAAAGTATCACCGGTGAGTGCTAGTACACTGAGGTGTTGCAGATGTCTACGGTGAGCAGATATGTGTACTGGGAGGCCATCGTCGTCGGAATGCGGCGAAGAGCAGGGCGACACTCAGATGAAGGCACGACAGAGCGCGGGTAGGTTCCGAAGGCAGGGCCGACGAAGTTAGGCAGTTTTCATCTTGGACGCGTGGACCAGGGGCCACAGCCAAGCACTCGGGCTACAGCCCGACAGTGGACCCAGTGGCTGCGGTATTCTCCCGTTGGCTTTATGGACCCTCGAAGCTTGAGGTCAAGCGAAGCAGGCCGACTTTTGACCTCTGCCAGGCACTCGGGGCAAACCACGACCGTGACGCTGGCGAACTGCCTCCCCCTGCTCCTCCCTGAACGACCTTGCCAACTGTCACGGCTCCTTGGGTAGACTCGTCGGCTTCTCATTGGGGCTTTCTGAGTTGCTGCGTCAAAAAGTGATTGGCCGCTGAAATCTTCGTAGTACCTGCTGATTGGGCCACTTTCTTCTCATGTTGTTTACATAGTGCACTCGTTCCGATGTCCATAATCGTCTTCGCCTTTCTTCTGTTTGCCCGTGCACTGCTCGTCTTCTTTTTCCTCCTTTTTTGCCATTTGCCGCATTCGTTCTGTTTCGCACCAGCACAACGGACATTGCCGTCTCCTATTCCACCTAACGCCAAAGCACTGGCGATCTTTCATGCACACATCACATCACACCATCTACTCTCTTTCATACTCTTTAGCCTCTCTTCAACCCTTGCTTTGTTGTGAGCTTCCTACAACTTGCCCATCTCATATTTACCTTCACATTTGTACTTACCATTTTTCAGTGAGCTCTCAACATGAGGGGTGCCACAATTCACATCCAGTCCTGATTGTACCTCTGACCTCATGAACACCACTGAGTTTCCAAACGTAGCCCTGGAACCGCTATTGATTTCCACAAACCTCACCTCTTATCCCTTAATTTCATGGGATTTTTCCTGACCCTTTATGTATCTATCACCCCCATTTAAACATGCTTTAAGGTATTTGTAATCTCTTACCCTCAGTGCTTCCTGGCTCATCATTGGGAGCAGTGAATGCCATTACTCCAAATTTTGTTACACTTCATCACTTCTGTCAGCCATTACATATCCTGTCTAGAAATAAGACAACACCATCATCAAAAAAGATAAAGCAGATTCTACTGATTCTGGGAGTCGATGCCATGCGAATCAGTAGACAAGTAGTGGTCAATACTACATTTTTTCTTGCTTTAAGTCAAGCATTGCAAGTTGAACCGACTTTTCCTTGCCCATTTAGAGTACCATATACACTCGACTGAGGGCTGCTCTTTCCAGCTTGGTAGTCAAAATTTCAAAGAAAGAAAAAATAATAATATCGTCAACAAACCAAAGCATCATCGCATACGGTGCATTTCGCGGAAGCTACCAGATGGTAATAGGTGTCCTGCGGTTTCACCATGAGGCGCTATCTGTGAGCTATATACGGCACGATTAAATAGGTTTTACCATATGTGCATTGAAAAATTAAACAAAAATTTCGCACTTCTGTGAATGGGCCGCACTCCATCAGAATGGCGGAAAAAAATCACAGAATATCCACGGAGTGAATGATGATTGGTGGGGCGAAGCGTTTGTCAGTTCATCCGTGTGTGCGTCCATCTGTGTGACTACCAGTGCGTCCGCCCGTCTGTGCGATTGCCCCTATATACTTGTCCGTCTGCCCGTCCGCCTATCCAGTGAACACTCCAAGTCCCGCCATCTCACATCTTTTCATCATGTATTCATCATATACAAGTACCGCCATCCAGTGGACATTCTATGGACTGCTCTCTTGGGTATGTGCCACCAGTGATTACTACAATAGCCCGTGACCCATAAGGAGCTGCCCCTGAAAATTGCCGCCCTTACACGTGTGTGTAGGGTACACGTACGTCATAGGCAAGCCCGTAGCAAGCAAGTTTTTATTCTGAGCAACCACTTGTTGAAGTCCTTAACTATTTAAGAAATGTGCCTATTTGAGAAAGGGACAATTTGGAGGCTTGTAGGGCCCTCCGCTTCTCTACCTCCCTGGCTACAGGACCGACCATGGTGTTTCAGTTTTTGACCACAGTTGTCAGTTTTATCGAAAGGAAGTGCACGTTGCCGTGCAATGATGTGCATGTAATAATGAACGGTTTTCATTGTATTCGTTTGGGTTTGGCGATGATTAGATGATAGGAGTTAATATGCAATGTTCCTTATCGTTACAAAAGCCAATAGTAAACATGTGACTAAAGTTAACGTTGTCGCAATATAAGGCCATTATAAGGTCTTATATCACGGAGATGTTTGGACCGTGTGCCGTCACCAAAAACTTATCCACTTTCAAGAACACCATGCGAGTAACACTGTCAAAATGCGAGCCTATATGTATTCCCATTTTCTTCGAATAAAATGAGTTGCATGTAGGCGTTCTTCCGTGTCACTTCTCGTGTCTGTCTCATTTGTGCCTTATTTCTTTCGTAATACTTATTTGTTCTCATTCTATGCAAACTATGTTATTGGTATATCTCTCTCAAATACAGTCACCTCCCTATGCCCATTTCATTCAAATTTCTGCCAAATTTTCCAATCAACGCTATCACACTCCGCAGTGATGTCTATAAAAGCCACACATAAGGGCCAGTTTTCTGTTTTAGATATTTTGATATCTGAATGAGAACAGATAGGTTATTACCGAACCAGCTGCCAATTCAAAATACATGCAGGAGTTCTCTTAATATTGTTATGTTTTGTGCATGTTTCAATTTTTAATTATATTGCCTACACTGGTATAGTAACGATGTTATGTCAAATGGTGTATACGAGTGAATGACAGGCAAATACCGGACAGTTGGCAATTAAGTACAATGAACTTAATCTATAAAGGGGAGATACTTTTGCCCATTGACTCTAAGGATTCAGTTCACTCTACTTCATCACCAACTGTCAGGTCTTTGCCTGTCCTACACTGTTTATACAGTACTTCTTTACATCACATTAAAACAGCAAAAAAAAAAAAGAAAGAGGACCAGAGAAAGGAGGATACAAATGGCAGTGCTGCCATCTGTGCCATTCTTTTTTTTGGTCTTCCGTCTTTTTTATGTGAAGTATGCCGTACCAACTTGTACAAGCAATCAACTTGGCTTCTTTAATATTATGTCAGTTTGTTCATGAGACTGCATGGCGGGAAGAAAGTTACCAACCATCCTAAATTTTGCGGGACTGTCCTGATTTTTCATGTACGGTCCAGAGTCCCACACCGTTGTTGTCGGGACAGCTCCATGTCCTGGATTTGTTCCAACTGTACAGTTGAAAATTTTTGCATTACCCAACGCATGCACAACAGCATGTCTTTTGCTGAGGAACACGAAGTTCGCTCAAGTTGCAAGCAGAAAGCAATGTTGTGGTGGCTATCAGTGGCTACGAAAGGCTTTAGGCACTTCAGTTGAACTTCTGCGTGAACTGCGGCAACTTTTACTGGTACATTGTCCAGCAAGAAGAAGTGCTTTGAGCAGCACGTAGGCAGCTGAAGTGCCTCAAGAGGCCGGAACTATAAAGAAACAACTAATTTGTTTGGAAGATATCATGAAAACTGATTTTCCTGTCGCTATGTTAGTATATGGGGCCAAAGCGCGACAACAGGAGCGGACCAAGCGACATCTGATATTACACACATGCAAATGTTTCCTCCTAAAGATGCGCGAATGCAGGCCTTTGAAACTGCCTACCAGCATGCGGCGAACAATTTCGGAATCCAAGGGCCACCAGTTTGACTTCGGCGATCTCCACTTGCGGTGCTGTACTAGGAAAAAGCTAATTAGGGCATACCTTAAAAGGTAATGGGATCGAGCTTGTTGGTGAGCCTTCATAGTACTAGAGAAACAGCGTGGAAATACGAAACCACTGAAGAAAACAGAGACAGGACGAAGCGCATACCTTAGCGAGGTGCTTGGCTATGCCTTTGCCTTGCAAGGACTCGGGAACTTCTGTGTGGACTAGATCGAGTGTTTTGGAATCGATCACTTCGTACTGCAGGACAGCCTTGTCTGAAATCACACGTACGTAGTCACACAAACGCTGGAAACGTGAAGTAGAGCATACTGTTGAACGAGTTGGCTATCAACAAAACGACGGACGCAGAAAAGTGCCAGTCCGCTCCCCTTTGCTGTATTCGTCGCTTTTTGCTAGAAAGCAGCTCGGAACCATAAAATAAAACAGTAAATAAATAAAGCATAAAGCGCTACTTGAGACGCAGACAAGGGAACCATCTAAATAAAAGAACAGCGCTATACATTACACGAGGGAACACACAAGGACGGGCACTGCCATTTCCGAGACCCAGCAACAGCTAGCACCAGTTCTAGCGTGTTCCCTTGTTAGAGTGTACTAGAAGTACCCTTGTCCGCGTCTCAAGTAGCGCTGTTCTTTTCTGTTCGAACGAGTCGCTTCCAAGCGCCATCACACGTACCTTTGCCGAGTTTGATAAAGAATTCCCGTTTCACATTGTCGTGTTCAACCTCGAAGGATTCCTGCGAGAGATTTCGCGCACATGCCATTCTAGGCTGAGCCCTGTGCACAGCGCGCAGGCACGCTTTCCCAAAAAACTTCAAAGCCATTTGCAAGCAGACGCCACTGTACGATTGTTGAATAACAGCCGCGGTTTCGTGCGTTTGTCAACGTTGTAGGCCAAAACAAAGCGCAATTATTCCTTTTAATTCATTATATAAATGTTTTGGGGAACATAAAAAGTTTTGTTTATTTATTTTCAAGCAGATATTAGTTGTTTGCAAGTTCTATTGGCTCGATCGCACGCGACATCAACTCGCGCACGATCTTCCCGCTCATCCCAAACAAGCTGACGAGATGGCCCAAGGAGCCGTGAGAGTTCGTTTCGTTGGCGACGATGATGTTATCGAACACATATATAACCTCTCAGATGCGAGCAAGAAAAAGAAAAAAGGTGAGGCGTCCGTAAAGTGGGTCGGCAGTTGCGATCTGTGCAAATGCTCCTTATGTGGGTGTACCGGAGGTGTTTCTCTCATTTTGGTTTCCATGTAAACACTTCACTTCAGACACTTCAGAACCTTTCACTCAATGACTACAACTGAGATTATTTATTTCTTCCCGTGGGAGACGAATGTATGGTGGCTTTGTTATACAGTGGTACTTCTGTAACAAATGCTGATCTGGTGCATGCAAGTCACCTGCGCAGTGGAAGAATCTCGCAGCTACGAGTTTATGATGGAAAAGTTTTGTTGCATGATGAGTGGGCCTCATAAACGTTCAGTTCCAGGGTCATGAAATAAAGAGAGAAGTAATATTGATAAAGGGTGCGATGTATGTGTCCAGATAAGATATAAACTAAAAGTCAACATATACCAAGTGGTTTTAGTCGAAGGAGTACCAAGGCGTGGGTCAAAGAAGGGTAGAGAAAGTAACCAACGAGTTGCCTAGCGGGCGAAGAACATTGCAGCAATCTACCCTGATTTTGTATGCATAGGAAGCTGTCCTCAAGCGATGAAGACCCACAAGATCCCTTTCAAACTAGCGGACAAGACCGCCAACCGAAAATCACCTTACTGTATGTAAGGTGGCAATATGGAACGTGGCAATATGTCCAAAAAGTAAAAAAATATGACTGAACAGAGTTGGCACAGATTCTCAACACCAATAATATTTGACCTTCGGCGTTAAGATTTCGCCTTTCCTATAACGATTGAGCCAAAGAAAGATGGAACCTCCAAATTGTGCACTGACTGCAGAGTTCTCAATCGTCAGACAGAACTTATACCATCTCCCATGCCAAATAATATAGATGCGATGATAGACGAGACAGGTGGTTGCTGACATTTTTCGTGTATTAACTCATACAATGCTTTCTCCACTAAGCAACGAAACAAATTTATATGCTGCTTTTATAATGCTATGTTATTTGTATGGGTACAGCCAGCCTATTTTCTGTTGGAGAAACTTCTTGGCATAATTAGAGAAGATCATGAACTACGTCGAGATGTTTTTTTGCAAGGTCTACATAGACAGCACCATTGTCTTCTCCAAAACCTAGGGTCAGGGTCATCTGTCTCGTGTATGAAATTCTCTGATGTTGGCACGCATTAACGTTAGTTTTAAGACTTGTGCATTCTTCGCAATGTAAAGTTGATTTTCTTTTAAAAGGCTTTGATGGCATCATCAAAAGCATGAAGCAAGAGACTGTTAAAACGATCTGACATGTGGTGAAACTCCCTTTGAATGCAATGACGAACGTGAGAGTTTACTGTGCACATAACCTCTGCTGACTGTTTAGGACTGAATACTGGTGCCTGGCGTTATGGGACAGTTATAAACCTGTATCAGAAATGTCCTAAAGCATCAAGTCCGGAAAAGTGACATGTACAAGGTTATAAGAGCTACGTCTTCAACATTCTGAACTACTGAAAAAGAAGTTCTGAAGGCAATTCTATCGAGAAAGTGCTAAGGGCACTTTGTTTTCCCGATCACCAAGCCCTCTCATCTCTTGAATACGACCCAAACGAAAGGACGTATTGCTACATAGGTGAAGTACTTGCTGAATTTTGCCACCTGCCATTAACCTCTTGTGACTAATGTAGATGTGTTGTCAAAACTGATGTTACAAAACAGTTGGAAGAAATCAACAAAATAAAAACAAACCGAACAACACGTTTTTATTGGAGGTCGATATCTACTTGCGGTTAGAAGAGAGAGCTTGTGCCATCTTGAAGTGAATCCTTGTTTCGATCTGGCTGTTTCTGGAATTCATCCAGATGAGGTCAATTTTCTTCAAAACTTGCGTGCTTCTCAGATGTGTACTGTCTTCTTTCCCAGTATCTCTGCTCGTGGATTTAATAGTATGTGTGCTGTTTTTGTTCAGAACACTATCTAGTAGAAGCACTGACTTGCAGATGAGGGGCTTGTGTAGTTGACAAGGGGCAGTCTCCAAGCGGCAGACAGCTGCTCTCAAGATGAATTTAGATGGCCCCCCGAATGTTTCTTGTAATGAGCGGGAAACAGTGCAAAAACAGGACTAAGTAAGAATGACCACGCAACACAAGCGCTGATGAACAACACTGGAAAATGTATAGCTGAAAAAAGAAACAGGACTAAAACCATCACGTGCGTATAAAGATGTGATGCGAGAAGAATCTGCCACAAGTTGAAATGTCTCAAGTTAAAAGCTCCGAAACGACATATCTTTTTTGAGGAGGGTGAGTGAAAGCTCACTTAGCTCATGTTTCCTCTCTACTTGATATGAAAGGCTTCGTTGAGTTCGCGCTTGTTCCTGTGACGATGTCAAGAGAGCACCTCGAACTTATGAAAAAGTGGGTTGCAGCCGAATGAGGGTCGCACCCCACTTTTTAATAATTGCGAGGTGAAATCAATGTCAAAATGAAGGTGGTTGACCCCAGTTGCATGCACTCCTGTGAAAACAGAACTTTGAGCATGATGGACAATTTGTGTGGAGGGCTACTACCACTTGCATCGTTGCTAGAGGAGGGACTCTGTGGCCTTATTGGATCGAAAGATTTCGCCTATAAGTTATCAACGAGCTTTTAAAATCAACCAGTGCAGATTTAGCCGCTGTTCAGGGGGAGCTTTTCAAAACGTTGTAAAAAACTGGGTAAAAAAACTAAATAAATAAAATCAATTTTCAGTTCCTTTACGTCTCTCGATTAAGTCTTGAAAGAAAGTAGTATAAAGCGAACGTACCATTTTTGTTGTTGTTGTTATACACAATATTAAGGAGGAATAACAGACATGTCAACATATAAAAGGCATGTGTCGGCTAGGACTTGTCAATTTCTGTCAGTCATCCTTTTTGTTTATTTGATTGCACCCATTGCTGTCCTTTTCAGATTCAAACTTTCTAACCATTTTGCTACAATGGCGGTTTTTAACTAGTACTTCACACTTGTGCTTTTCTTGTAGTTGCAGCGAAGGAGGCAGAGCCAACTTTGACCGCTGAATCGCCCCTGGTTGCTGGTGTGGAACAGGAAGAGGCGCCGATTCCTGTTGGTAAGTCTGAAAGGGTGCAGAATTATATGCTACGAACACTGCAATAAAGTGTGCATGCGTCACTTAAAGGTCTCCATGCCACCAGTGACACACTAACGGGACGCCAAGTGTTCAATCTCACTTGCACACCGAAAGCAAAACATGGTAAGCAGCATTACTATTCTTTGCTTTTATTTTGTTCAAGATTGTCTGTGGCAATTTTGTGCATGCAGTTGTTAAAGCTGCTTCAAGTACTCCAAGCAGGGAGCAAAGGAAAGGCTCTTGCAGCACACCTGTCACCCCGAAATCACCTTACTCGCTAAGGAAAAAGATCAAGCAGAGTGAGTGTGTTGATAAGCTGCCCTCTTTATTACTCGCACATTCGTGACTTTTTTTCTCTCTGAATATGTTCAAAGAATTGTCAAAGATGAAGAACGAAGCAGAGGCATCTTCTGGTGACTCGGACAGTGAACAATCGTCTGGAGATGACAAGGACGAAGAAAGTGATCAGGTGACTTTATGGCGCTGTCCATTCTTTGGTGTAGGCTGACTTGGTAACTTTATTCATTAATACGTGGCACCTTGCTTTTCTCATATTTTGCGTTTCCTCTCACTTTTGCATGTCTTGCAAGGTAGGAGCTTGGTGTTTTAATGTTCATAGATAATAGCACCACACAGTGAAAAGGGAGACAAACACCACAAGGAGGATTAGCTGATGACATTCGGTGTGGCAACGCTTTCATGTGGCTAGTGCTGACACCTGCCGTGCAGCCAGAGGGGCTTTTTGTTTGCCTCCTTCATGCTCACAATATTCAACATGTGTGTGCCAGACTCCAGCACACAAAGCATTTTGTCGGCAAAGCAATGTTACCTTCTCTATAGGGAAATATGATGATCAATAATGAATGCACAGTGATCAGATGCATAATAAGTTGTTTCAAAGCCTGTCACTGCAATGATTTGGCTTATTGAATGCCATTCTAAGAGGCGGAGGCAGCATGTGCTTTTTAATAGAAAAATAACAGTGTTAACTGGACACAGACAGGAAATACACACGTGCTGCATTTAAAAATTCTTCATGCAACGTTCCTGTTCTTGGCACACCATTCAATTGTATATTTTTCAGAAGTCGTGTTGGGCGAGTAAAGTTTTACATTAATTGTTATTGAACAAAGTTTACATACTTCAGTATCTACGAAGCGCTTTATGATTTATGCCACCTGAGCCACACTTGGCTTATATAGATACAATGAAACCCTTTTAATACATACCTGCTGGGGACAGTGGCATAACTACGCACTAAGCGTACTACGCATTAACCACCAGTTACAAATTTGCATCTCCTGACATGCGCCATCGCCGCCATCAAAGAAAGAGATGGGAAATATTGACTAAAGTGCCCACTGCAAAGCATTTTTTTTTCTTTTTGCAAAAGTACAGAAAGGTTTCTGACTTTTGCACAACCGCCCGATAGCATGCGGTAGTGACGCTGATGAGCATATTGAAACTATAGCGGGATCTGTGATACGCAGCGTAATACAGCGACAAAATGAACTCAATCGCCTGTCCGTGATACAGTTTTTCCACGGTCTGCTTCTTAGGAAAAACTGACGCTGTTTTCTTTTTTAAAATGCGGTAGTTGCAGAGAGCTAAATGGTTTGCTGCATGGCTGTTTGCGTGCAGCGCTTCGCTCACTCTGTGCCCACAGTGACTGCCAATCCACTCGCTATAGAGTATGCTCTCTCCGCTTCAGGCCATGCACAGACTCGGCTAGCAGCCTGCTTGGTTAATGCGGCGACGAAGAGCTTTCCACAAGCAATGTGCTTTCTGCGGCAATGCCCTAGCAGTCCTGGCAGCGGACGGAGGCTCGTTTGGGCTGTCGCTAAATAAAAGTGTCCAGCATAGTAACAACAGCGCTTCGCTCGCTGTATCATGTGCATGTTGGCATAATACAGCAAAGTTTGTCGGTGCCTGTGACCCGCAACGCTAAACTGCCTGCATTTCTGTAAAGCGGTGCGCGCTTGAACACGGTCCTGCCAAACGAAGCAGTAGGGATCGGTGGCCCAGCGCGTTCAGGTAGTCGCCTACTAAAAGCATGCAGTAGGCCTAAAGTGACGCTACGCCACACGCGTACCAGAGCAGATAAGCGGGGATGCTTACTGTGATAAGGCTTTTCGCCGGCGATAAGTTGTACTGGCACGTTTGTCAATGGTTGCCAACTGGCCTTCGTTTTTTACCCAACGATTACTTGCAGTGTAATTGCCGTAATCTCACGGAAGTTGGAATAACGACATTGGAATAACTTATTGGCTGATCTTCGCACTTATCAACATGACGGAAAACTGTTTACGGCACATTGCGGCGTCTGCAAGTTCAGCGGCGCAGTAAAATTTTGTGGTGCAAAATGTTATTGCAGTATGCAGTTAGTACGCACTAACCGGTAGGCGAACACTACGTCTTAAGTGATTTGTGAATGCATTAGTCTCTATGAGATTCGGTCGGGGGTTCATCACAACTACGTTTTAATCATTAATACGCTTAAATTAAGTATGCACTAACGAGGTTTGACATATGTCTAACAACGTATTGCCAAATGTGTATTGGTCGACGGGTTATCAAGTGATAACGACTATCGCTTTCCCTTGCCTTATTCTTGCTCGCTCAGGGTAGTTGTAAATTATGACGTGCCCGTCTTATCGAATTTCGCGATAAACGGTAGGTGGGCGGTGACTGGTTTCACGCGACCAGTTTTAAAAATGAGCTGCGAGCAGCGAACAGATTTGGATTTCTTCTTTTGGGTAGACAGGCGCTCGTTACGCTTGTGGCAAACACGCGCTATATTTGCTTTTCGTTGAGAGAGCAAAAGTTTGCTCCAAATAAACTATCTTGTTTTCTCGTACCGGCGTCGTCCATCAACTTCATGTGCGTGCCCTACGTAACACAGTTAGTACGCACTAACCGGTATGTGAACACTACGACTTAAGTGGTTTGCGAATGCATTAGTCTCTATGAGACTCGGTCGAGGATTCATCACAACTGCGTTTTAATCGTTAATACGCTTAAAGTGGGTACGCACTAATGAGGTTTGAATTATGTCCAAGAACATATTATGAGATCTTGAAACAATAAGAGAAGCTCTCTCATACCATGCCCGCAGTTCTTGTTTACGACTGTTGCTTGCAAACGATTGCAATAAATTCTGTTGCAGGATGAAACTGCCCGAAAGTAACATATATATGCACGCACACTGTACCTTTCATATAATGGATCTCAAGAGACCCCTAAAAATCATTCGTTATTTTTAAAAGTCATTGTTGTGGATGTATTAAGCGTTTGCGAAAAAATCGTAAACACAAATACGTGAGTCGCCTACCTGTGCTGTGTATACATTCGTGACCGCGTTATGCTCTAATGAGCGTGAAAAAACAAGCAAACTTGAAATATTATGCAACCAGTGTATGTTTATTTGAGGAAGAGCGCGATCTATCCAAATTTCGGCAGCTCAACTGCTGAAAGACGAACTATAGGCATGTGCACACCTCTTGCGCAGTGCAAAGCATCAGCATGAAATATCGATTCTTTAAGCTGGCTTGCTCATACTGTTTCAATGTCTTCTCTTTCATCACCATTTTGTTATCACAACAAATGGTACGAGTCTCATTGGTTGTCTGCTGTGCTGATGTGCATGCTTTGTCGTCTCACTGTGTGAAGTGTTCAAGCGTTCGTGAAACATGCACGGGTACTCATCAGCGACTCCATTTTATAGGTCACTCACGTTGCATTTTTCACTCTTTCGTAGCATTCCTTTTGTGCTACTTCTCGAGCTTGTCTTAAACGTTCGATCATTAACCAAAATGCTAGAAGACAACCATGTTACAAGCGCACAGGTAATGCTGCCCGACGAAAACAAGGGTCAGACGATGATAAAAAGAAGGACCAGACGATGATAATGGCGATAAAGCTATCGCACATTTGATTGAATATGGCAGGTATATAGAGAAATGTGTGAGCATTCTGATGATGATGATGATAGTGGCAGGCACGGAGCTTTGCTATCCTTTATGTTTAGCTGTTGTGTAGATATAAGGGGCGTAAAGTTCAATACATTATTCTGAAACATTCGATATTCTAAAATTTGTAGTAGTGAAATACTTTTACATTAAGCCAATGGACATTCGGAGGGAGATTTTCAAAAAAGTCGTTAATCTGCAAAATTGTTCATCTGAGATTTGACTATATATATATATATATATATATATATATATATATATATATATATATATATACACACACACACACACTTCCCATTTACTTTACAATTCGGTCTAATAACATTCCGCTATACTTTCCTTGGCATTATTGTCTGTAAGATCTCATTAATATTGTGTCAAAACATGTGAAAACGAGCCCTTATGTATACACTTATTTCCCATATATATATATATATATATATATATATATATATATATATATATATATATATATATATATATATAATGCCGCGTGCATAGCTGTATCCGTTCGGCTGGTACGATACTTCTGGAGCAATGGACGACGCACAGCATCTGCATAGGTGTACGAGTTTGGACGGTGCGGTGGAGCGGAATATTGCTGAGGAGAGGCAAACGCTTGTCGAAGTTCATGGCGAACTATTTCAGCGACGGAGGCTACCGTGGACTCCTGCTTCGGGGGCGCCTGTGACTGCAATGTGTATTTAGCGTTCTCCTTCGCGATCTCCTCACGCACGATCTGTCTAATCAGGTGGCGTAGAGCAAACTCGTCGTTTGCGGTAAGTGCGGCGGCGCCTGCAGCTGCGCCGGTGGCCGGGCGATCAGACTGTCGGTACCGTTGCTGTAGCGCACGCTCTATTGCGGTGGCCTCCCTGGTGAACTCGTCCACTGTTGTCGGCGGATTGCGCACAAGACCAACAAATAGCTGCTCTTTGACGCCCCTCATGAGATGGGTTAGCTTTCGAGCCTCGGGCATGTTGGGGTCCGCGCGGTGGCACAGGCGCACCATATCCTCAGCGAACATGGCGACGCTTTCATGCAGCTGTTGGGTGCGTCCTTCAAGAAGGCGTTGTGCGTTTTCGCGTCGGTCCGCGTTACCGAAGGTGTCAAGAAACCGATGACAAAACTCCTCCCATGTCGTCAGTGTTGCCTCCCGGTTTATAAACCATGTCTTCGTGCCATCTTCAAGGGCGAAGTATACGTGGAAGAGCTTTCCATCGAGACTCCAGTAGTTCGATTTAGCTACCCGTTCGAACTGCACAAGCCAGTCTTGTGCATCTTCGCTCGGCCGGCCATGAAATGGTTCAGGAATGCGCATATTCTGGACCGTCACCTGTGCAGGACTCCTTGCCATTTCTTGAGTAGGGGTGGTTGTCGGAAGTGTTGCTCCCTTTAAAAGGCCAAATTCCGGTTCAAGACCTTGAAGGCGACGGCTTGAGCGGTGCACAGGCGTCTCCACGCGTGGCTGTCTCGTAGGGCTGGACTCGGGGCTTCTCACAGG